AATGTAATTAGAAACTGTATATACAATTGTTCTGTAAGGCATTTATCATGACTAATAAAGTTTCTACGTTGGCAATAAAAAAGAAAAAAAAAAAAAAAAATTTCCAACAGCAATGTTAGACTTATATAAATATTATTTTAATATAAATAATTCATTTGTACTTTCTGCTAAAAAATTTAACAAGCAGTGGGCTTTTGTTAACAATGTCTGGATAAGATTTAATGGTTACAAGCAAAAAAATGATAATGAATAGAAAGTTTATATATGCTAGCTTTCAAACCCAAAAAAATCAAGCGAGAAAAAGGAAGATATCTCTTCAGAAAAGCTTCATATAAGTTGAAAACAACCTCCTATTGAATATAATACCAAGATAAAAATAACTTGGTTTGATGATGTTACAAAAACTGTCTGAATTGAATAAGTAGAAGGCACATCAGATTATTGCCATACTATTGATGAAGTTAATATGCAAAAGTAGTCAAAATTTATTAAAAAGCTAGTATATGATAAAGCAGTTAAAGATTATCACCTACTAGCAATTGCAAATATTGTTCAAAATGAAGCAAAGAAAGCTTATAAAAATTCGATTGTAGAATATCTTAAAACTCAAGAAGTTGCAAACATTAAATTTAAGCTTGCAGGTTCAATAAATGTATATCTTATTGGTGAATCTAACTTGAAAGCTGATATTAATAATACTATGAAATTTTTAACTAAAAAAAACTATTATGTAAAACAATTTTTTGTTAAAAAGTCATATTATAGTTTTTGTTTTGCAAATTCAGAGCAATTAGAAAACTTAATATACTATAATTGGCTAACTCTTATAGATTCCATGTATAATACTAATAAGCATGATTGGCAGATGTTTACATTGTATATTTGTAATAGCTACAGTTGTTGGAATATAGATATGCATTTCTATATCAGTAATGAGAATAGTGAGACTGTAATATATGCATTAAAAATTATTTGAAAATTTGCTTTTTGCTGAAATTCCCAATATATGTTTCTTGACCAAAGTAGCATAGAAGCTAATAGTATTGAGGCAACCTTTCTAGGTTCTCAAGCTAGAGAGCAAAGGTGTAGTGTTCTTCTTTGCATAGTTTATATATATAGATAAAAAAAATATATTATAGACCAACTCTTAAAAAAATGACCCATGCAATATACAAAAGAACCCAGACTGAATGTGAAGGTGTTATTCAAGATTCTATCACTAACTGGTTTGTTCCAGCAGTTGCTAAATTTATCACCAGAAATTATTAAAAAAATTCAAATAAGTAAGCTCTTTGGGCCTAACAATACTTATCTCTTCTTTTTCAGATTATCTCAACAAATCTTCTTGAATCCTACCACAGCGAACTTAAAACAAAGACCTTGAAAATATATAGTCTAATTGGCATGTATTTTTATTATTAGAAATTGATATATGATAAGTTCAATATATTAAGACTATGAGGTGTGGCGGCTTAGTGAAGTGGTCAAGTTGTCACCCTCTTCAAGTAGCAGGTCTAGGGTTCAAATCCCACAGACGACAAAAGTTTGAAAAATAGGCTTGCGTTACAGTAACGGATCTTCATTAAGTTGGGGCTTAGATTAACCTGTAA